TACAGAGAGAGAGAGAGCTTTAACTACACAGAGAGAGCTTTAACTACAGAGAGAGAGAGAGAGAGAGAGAGAGCTTTAACTACAGAGAGAGAGAGAGCTTTAACTACAGAGAGAGAGAGCTTTAACTACAGAGAGAGAGAGAGCTTTAACTACACAGAGAGAGCTTTAACTACAGAGAGAGAGAGAGAGAGAGAGAGAGCTTTAACTACAGAGAGAGAGAGCTTTAACCACAGAGAGAGAGAGAGAGCTTTAACTACAGAGAGAGAGAGCTTTAACTACAGAGAGAGAAAGAGAGCTTTAACTACACAGAGAGAGCTTTAACTACACAGAGAGAGAGAGAGAGAGAGAGAGAGCTTTAACTACAGAGAGAGAGAGAGAGCTTTAACTACACAGAGAGAGAGAGAGCTTTAACTACAGAGAGAGAGAGAGCTTTAACTACACAGAGAGAGAGAGAGAGCTTTAACTACACAGAGAGAGAGAGAGCTTTAACTACACAGAGAGAGAGAGAGCTTTAACTACACAGAGAGAGAGAGAGAGAGCTTTAACTACACAGAGAGAGAGAGAGAGAGCTTTAACTACACAGAGAGAGAGAGAGCTTTAACTACACAGAGAGAGAGAGCTTTAACTACACAGAGAGAGAGAGAGAGAGCTTTAACTACACAGAGAGAGAGAGCTTTAACTACACAGAGAGAGAGAGAGAGCTTTAACTACACAGAGAGAGAGAGAGAGCTTTAGCTTAATGCTGCGTTGCATCCTGAGACAGAGGACAGATTAATTACTGGAGGAGGAATAAAGGACGTTCTCTCCTCAGGGACAGAAACGCAGCAGGAAGTTGAATAATGTGACGTGTGTTTGTTTGGTGTTTTATTAAAACCATCTCTGTAAAAGAATGTTTTAATATATGGAAGCTGTATTTTATAAGTGAGAATCTCGCTGTGTGCTGACTGACACCAGCTGACATCAGACCACACTGACTCCAGAATGAACTCATATAAAACACTGTGGTCCGTGCAGAGTGACTGGAAACGCTGGTTTGGAAATAGCAGCACACAGACTGCAGATACACCAGAGATATTAGACTCTGACGGAAACTAACAATCCACGCAGAGAGGCCGGTGTTTAAAACACAAACATCTGGTTAATAAATTACATTCATCTGAAAACCATGTCAAGATTTATGTACATTTTACTTTGGATGTCCAGAAACTGGTTTACATTTATTTTGGCAAAACGAACGTTCCTTTTATTTGTTTCTGTTCCCTTTGGAGGAAAGTTTTGTTTTGTCTGTGGACACGTGTCATTTCCATAAATACACATTTACAGATCATTTTTATTGTCTTTACAAGAGTTCAAACATTTTCTCAAGTAAAAAACCCTCCTGCTCCATGACATCAAACACAGGAAGGCCTTCATCCCCCATAATGCACCACGCAGGAAGTCATTCGTCCCCGTGAAGTCACAGTGTCCCTACCTGGAGCTGTAGAGCAGAACGCGCTCTCTGTTTCAGTAAGGATTCTTAACCCGTTCCACTATTTATCATCAGCTCCTGTTTTCACTGTTTGAGTCTCTACGTTTCCACAGTTATTATTTATTATACTCAGATTTATTTATTATTATTCCTTAAGTTCCAGTACTTTTAGAAACTAACTGCACATTGAAATCTACAGAGCTCTGCAGTTCACGCCTGTTACTGACTGGTAACTATTTCAAAAGGTGCTAAAAACATTTTCTGTGTTTTTTTTATGTTTCTAAACCTTCATTAAGAACTAGTGACAAACGAAAAATGGCTTGTTGATAGTAAATGTTTTAATTCTTACTAGTAAAAAGAAAATAAGCACTAGTGGATGAATCGATATATAATAATATATATAAATATAATAATAATAGATATTAGTTAAATGATAGAAAGTAAAAAAGTAAAAAGTAGAAATAGAGACCAGAACGTTAAAGTAATAAAATGAATATATTGACTTTCCTTCTTATTTCGCTTCCTTTTCATGCCCAGTTGTGCGAAATGCCGCCATCCAACAAGAAGAAAAAGCTGAAGCAGCAACAGCACTTTTCCTTCATGACTACTGCACTGACGCCAATGGCGACAACATGGAAACCTCCTCCACGAAGGTGAGCCGTCCTCTTCCCGACACCCCTACTAAAATACCTGTCTCGTTTAAGAAATCTAAACACGAAGCAGAGGTATCCAACGCTACAGTACTCGAAGCCGTTAACAACCTCGCCGCCATGTTAGAAGAACTCAATGTGCAAATGAAGAACAAGTGGCCAAAAGAAATAAAAGACTGCCAATCCAAAACTCACGCTTTGGAGAAGGAGACGAAAAATCCCTGGTGCCATCCAAAAAGATGGTCGCTGGATCCTCTGCGTTCCTTCTATTAAAGACTCTTTTATTATCCTGGGAAATGTCCACGGTTAGAACGACACAAACCAAAACAAATATCTTCTCTCTGAAACCGACGGGCTCATTAAAAGTTTAATATCATCTTAGGAGGAGACTTCATTATGGTACTTAATGAACGGTTAGACCGCTCACCCTCCACGTGTCATAACCATCACTGTAACCCTCACCGAGTCCGTTTCTGTAGCACTCACGGCGCTTTATACACTCCAACTTAAAACACTTCTCTTGGTTTAAACCGGATGGTTCAGTCAGATCAAGGACTGACTTTTGGTTAATCTCTGACAGTGTAACAGACTTATTATCTGACTGCTCTAGATCTTCTGCTCCCGTCTGACCACCACTTTATTAATCTCACCTTAGAACCAGTAAGAATCACAAACCAAACGAGGGTCGCTGGAAACTCGAGGCCAGCTTGTTCCAGTCTGAAACGTATTGCCAAGGGGTTGAAGACATCATTTATGAAACTACTCGAGACCCCGACCTTCTGTCTTCTAGCTCTAAATGGGAATATTTAAAATTCAGAATAAGGAACTTTTCAATCTCTTTCAGGAAACAACTGAAACAATCTGCCTTTTTAGAGGAGACCAATTTAACCAGAGAGAAAAGTCTCTGCTGTAATAAACCCGCACTGACAGATACTGACAAAAGGAAACTTCTTACACTACAAACCAAATTAGATCATATTATATATATATATATATACACACACAAGAAAAGCAAACGGAGCCTTCATCAGATCCAGAGCAAAGTGGATCCAAGACGGAGAGAGAAACTCTTCTTATTTCTGCAGATTAGAGAAAACCTGCCAGGAAGGAAATAACATCGGAACATTAATGAAAACGAATGCTCTGATCCTGAAACTAAAACCAATGAAGTTTATTCCTTTTACAATATTCTTCTGATGCAACAGAGGCCTTCTTTAACCAAACCAGAGGTTTTATTCCCACGTCAGAGTCAGAGCTCACGTATAAGGAGCTTGAAAAGGCGCTGCGGTGTCTCCTGGACGCCCGGACGGCCTCACAGCCAACTTTTAGAAACATATCAAAGCACTTTTATCTGAAACACCTAAAGAAGCTTTAAACAACCGCTCACGTCCACAGACGCTGAGCCAAGATCAAACAAAGATCCCAAATTCTTGGACAACCGATTACATTATTAAACAATGATTATAAATTACTAACACACATATTTTCAAATCTTCCTCAAATAATAAGTGACAGTCAGGATTTATGAGAGGTGGATCAGTACACAATAATGTTCGCCTCGTCCTTGATTTGCTTGAATGAGCACATAAAGGTCGACGGCTTTATTCTCTGTTTGGATTTTTACAAGGCGTTTGACACGGAACAGCACCGCTTTATTTTCAAGGATCTGCAGTTTGGGGGAAAATACTATAAAATGTTTTTATAACGACACCAACAGCTCAGTCTCTCTCCCGGGTGGCACCACGCCTCGCTTCAATATCCACAGAGGTATAAAAGGCCGCAACATAACTGCAGCTGAAATGTTGCCGATCCTCATCACAAAGTCAGATATCGAACAGTTAAATGTCTTTGACAGCAAAGGCATCCGGGTTACAAGTGAACTGTTATCTGCACACCTGCCACCTGGAGGCAGCACAGTATCCTATTAAAACTGCAGTCTAACACTTAAAGATATTAAAGTGAGCGAATCATTAAATGGATGAATGTAAAGCAAGATTAGACAGATGGTTAAACAGAGATCTTTCTCTGTTTGGTCACATCTATCAAACCAAAATGGAAAGCCTTTCCAGACACATTTACCCAGCCTGCTCTCTGTCTGTCCCCAACAAAGCTGCCAAAACCTTTGCCTACCTCTGGAAAAGAAAACCCCATTATCTGACAAAAGGGACTCTAGTGAAAGACTATGAAGATGATGAGCTACCAGCATATTGTGTCTCCAGGGAACTTTTACTTTGACGTTCCAAGACTTTCTATAAAAGTTCTGTTATATTGGAAACTCCTGTACAAACACAGTTTTACTGACGTACCCATCTGGCACTGCAGATTCATTCTCTGTAGAAATAAGGATGGAAAACAACACTTGGTCTGTTATTTACTGGACAACTATGGAAATGTTTTATCTTTCGGTACAAAACTTAATATCCAGTGTAATCGTGAACATTATGACATCTGCCTTCCTTTTGATGGCAAAAAATGCACCACCTCATGTGTTCAACCCCCGTCTTCCTCCTTCAGTGATGGTCGCTTCACTCCTACGCAGATTTCTTAAAGTTACCTTTGTCACTAAAGGGCTTCACTCCAAAGTATTTAACGACAGACCTCCTCTCACGTAGATTTAACTTTGATCCAACTAGCTGTATATTCTGTGATGAGGATCATTTGTTTTTCTTCTGTCCTCACAGTAACACGTCTGATTGGCTGGAACCTCATCTCCAGGTTCACTAGAGATAACATTAATATATGATAATTATTATTATTTTGATCATTTGATATTTTAGTAATTGTTTTGTTTTTACATTTGATACTGATTTTTTTTGTCTATTAACATATACACACACTTACCGTTTTATTTAAATTTATATATATACACACACACACACACACACTTACTGTTTTGTTTATTCATTTTATTTTTAATATATTTTATTTTATTTTTAACACACACAGACTTACTGATTTATTTAGTTATTTAATTTTAATTTTTTAATATTTCTTTCTAATTTTTTTTTTACACAAACACACATACGCTTTGATTACTTTACACTTTAATTACTTGTTTAATGAAATGTTTGGGGCTGATTGTTCTGATGTTGTATATATGATGCTTTGGCAATGTTGTTGTTACATTCATGCCAATAAAGCTAATTTGAATTGAATTAAATTGATAACATCACATTTGGATTATAATGAAGGACAAAAACTATGAACTGATTTTAAACACTTTAATTATCTCGGCTAAATTTTACATCCACAAATGTAAATGTATAAAAACACAGCCTGTTTTTGCATTTACAAGCCCCTGTTGTTCATGAAGAAGAAAACAGCCATTTTATTGATGCCTTAAAATTAACTGAAGCCCCTTAACTGTTTTATCGCTGTTATTTTAGTTTCATTTGTATTTTTGTTATTATTATTAATATATATATATATGTTTTATTTTCTTCTTCCTAAAGCGTTTCCTGTTGGCACTGATATCTGGAGATCTCTGACTGTGCCAGACACTGTTGTAATACTAATATAATAAATAATAATGAATAAAAAGCCTCGTGCCGAGTCTGTACCGGCGGACTTCTTCCTCTCGGTGTTTCTGATCTGGTTATAAACGCTGCTGCAGACACGCCGGCGCCCCCTGCTGGAAACTCTCAGCTGCGGCGCTGCGCACGAATCTGCTGACGTTCACCGACGGTTTCATTTTAATTACGTTTATGTGAATTATTACCAACATTTATTAGTTTTAGAAGCTGAAGCACGTGATTTACGGAGGACTGTTTGTATTGTTTAGCTGAGAGTTCAGTTTTAATCCGTTTCCTCGTGTTTCGAGCCGAATCAGCGAACCCGGATCAGGTTCAGGTGAAACCGGGTCCACGTGTTTGACTCTGACGGCCTCACGTCGGATCCGGTAAACGGTCCGTCCGGAGACTGAAGGTGAGTTTTTATTCTTCCGTCTGAAGCTTTTGTCTACGGACAAGCCACCGGCCGGCCGGTGTTCAACGTCCCGGTAACGTTAGCTCGCTTCACGGCAGCAGGTGACGGAGACGTCATCTCATAACGTCACACCGGAGCTGCATTATTAGCCGTCAGCTGTCCGTCAGTCCGTCAGCTGTCCGTCAGTCCGTCAGCTGTCCGTCAGTCCGTCAGTCCGTCAGCTGCAAAGTAATAAAGTCCAGTCGGCTGACAGACGCTGTCAGCAGCAAACAACGCGTCCTGTTCGGCTGCCACGGAGAAGCGCTCGTTTCTCACTTCCCCCGTTAATAAACGCAACTCATCGTTTGAATAATAAGAATATAAACGCAGCTGAGCACAGGTGAACGTGCCGGCACCGTTTCAGGAGGGTTCGAGTCCACGTCAGGCGGGTTTAACGTAACGAAAACACGACTTATTCCCGTCAAAGCGCAGCTACATTCACTACATTCACTACAGGCGGGGAAATCCAAGATGGCGCAGATTCACTTCCTGCTCGGTGCTGACGCTGGTGGCGGGAGGAGGTACTACAAGTACTGTACTGTACTACAAGTACTGTACTACAAGTACTGTACTGTACTACAAGTACTGTACTCAAGTACTGCACTGTACTCCAAGTACTGCACTGTACTCCAAGTACTGCACTGTACTACAAGTACTGTACTCAAGTACTGCACTGTACTACAAGTACTGCACTGTACTGCACTGTACTCCAAGTACTGCACTGTACTCCAAGTACTGTACTCCAAGTACTGCAGTACATGTACTGTACTACAAGTACTACACTCCAAGTACTGCACTGTACTACAAGTACTGTACTCAAGTACTGCACTGTACTACAAGTACTGTACTGTACTGCACTGTACTCCAAGTACTGTACTGTACTCCAAGTACTGTACTGTACTACAAGTACTGTACTCAAGTACTGCACTGTACTACAAGTACTGTACTCCAAGTACTGCACTGTACTGCACTGTACTCCAAGTACTGCACTGTACTCCAAGTACTGTACTCCAAGTACTGCACTGTACTCCAAGTACTGTACTCCAAGTACTGCAGTACATGTACTGTACTACAAGTACTACACTCCAGTACTGCACTGTACTACATGTACTGCACTACAAGTACTGCACTGTACTACAAGTACTGCACTCCAAGTACTGTACTACAAGTACTGCACTCCAGTACTGTACTACAAGTACTGCACTCCAGTACTGTACTACAAGTACTACACTCCAGTACTGTACTACAAGTACTGCACTCCAAGTACTGCACTGTACTACAAGTACTGCACTGTACTACAAGTACTGCACTGTACTACAAGTACTACACTCCAGTACTGTACTACAAGTACTGTACTCCAAGTACTGCACTGTACTCCAAGTACTACACTCCAGTACTGCACTGTACTACATGTACTGCACTACAAGTACTGCACTGTACTACAAGTACTGCACTCCAAGTACTGTACTACAAGTACTGCACTCCAAGTACTGCACTCCAAGTACTGCACTCCAAGTACTGCACTACAAGTACTACACTCCAGTACTGTACTACAAGTACTGCACTACAAGTACTGTACTACAAGTACTGCACTACAAGTACTGTACTACAAGTACTACACTCCAGTACTGTACTACAAGTACTACACTCAAGTACTGCACTCCAAGTACTGCACTGTACTACAAGTACTGCACTCCAAGTACTGCACTGTATTACAAGTACTGTACTCGAGTCCTCATTTGGTGTACTTTTACTTTATGCTACTTAATACCGTCACTAACTTTGAGGGAAATATTGTAGTTTTTACTGAACTACTTGTATAAAGTTTCACGATACTAACATCTGCTTCGGTTCCTTCAAACGAAAACTACAAATATTTGTATTTTACAAACATTAACACACAAATACATAAAGTTTTATTCTGTGAAAAGAGAAACAGAAGCAGAAAACTGCAAACGTTCAGTATTTTTCCTTTAAACAATTTAAATAAGCCATTAATTGTTTTAAATCTTCTCTCTCTAAATATTATGACCAAAAGTACCTAAAGTATCAGAAGTAAAAGTACTCATTGTGCAGAAAACGGCCCCTGAGATATATTATAGTAACATGAAACGTAAAGGAGTCTGAAACCAGAGGCGGACACGTACAGCTTTGAAGTACTTCACATTTCATATGATGATGAAACCACTGAACATGGTATATGAAGTACTGCTTGGTAGTAATAAGTAGTAGAGTGATGTACTCGACCGGGTACAACGTATTTAATTACATCCGTCCTAATAAATCAATAAACACAGCGAGTACTTTTACTTTGGATACTTTAAATACTTCTACTTGACTAAACTCTGCAGGACGTTTACTTGTGACAGAGTATTTGCACTCTGTGGTATAAGTACTTTTACCTGAGTACTTTGTGTTGCAGGAGGACGAAGATGTTGTGGCTCAGGTGCATTGTGGGTGATCTGCGTGGAGGAGGAAGACTCCTGAGAGGTCTTCCTCACGCCGCCCGCCCCCTGCTGACCTCAGAGAGTCAGCGGGTCAGACCGCCTCATCGCGGCGGCCTTCCTCAGAGGCGTTTCCTGTCTGGGGGCCAGGACTCGTCCTCCGCCCGTCTGAAGCTGAGGACGCGCCTGGGGGTGACGCTGCTGTTCGGCGGCGGCCTGCTGGCCACGTGGGGCTTCGTGTACTCGGAGAAGCAGCAGCAGCGGCGACGGCAGCGCGTGGAGCAGCTGCGGCGGGTGGCGCTGGGTCAGGGCGACTTCAGCCTCCTGGACCACAGCGGGCGGCGCCGCACCAAGAAGGACTTCCTGGGCAGCTGGGTGCTGCTGTACTTCGGCTTCACGCACTGTCCCGACATCTGTCCCGACGAGCTGGACAAGCTGAGCGCCGCGGTGTCGGCGTTGGACCGGGACGCCTCGCTGCCGCCCGTCCAGCCCGTCTTCATCACCGTGGACCCGGAGCGGGACGACGTGCCGGCGCTGGCCCGCTACGTCAAAGACTTCCACCCCCGTCTGATCGGACTGACGGGGACCCCGGAGGAGGTGAAACACGCGGGGCGGGACTACAGAGTGTACGCCAGCGCCGGGCCCAAGGACGAGGACGGGGACTACATCGTGGATCACAGCATCCTGATCTACCTGGTCAGTCCGGACGGGCTCTTCCTGGACTACTACAACCGCATGAAGAGCGAGGAGCAGATCGCCGAGAGCGTCCGGAACCACATCACCAGCTACGTCCCGCTGGGAGGCACCTGAACGCAGCGCGGACACCACAGACTGAACGCGAACGCCTCGGCTCGCTGTCCTCGCCGGGCGGACGCTCTAAACACGTTCATGTGCGGTTCGGCGGGAAGAACTCTGTTTCTGTCACAGTGGAGCTGAACCGAGCCGGTGATTCATCGAGTCGTCCGTCAGCAGCTGCTTTGATAAAGTCACGCGTGGCGTCCTGTCTCTGATGTCCCTTTAATACGTTCACATGTCAGAGTTTAGACTACCGAGAACCAAGACAACAAATAACTTTGTTAATTCATCAGAATTTGTTTTTGCCTCTACTGATGACAGAGAGCCTAAGCCCCGCCCCCTTCTGCTGGACCGCCGTGGGAGTCCGAACGTCTCCGAGTCTTTTGGGTTTTGAACTCTTGTCTTATTGGAACTCTTTAAAGTTGAGACTCCTGGTTACTGGAGCCTCTCTGATCCAGGTCCTGGTTCTGATCCAGAACCTGCTGCTGCCTGTCTTTCCAAAATAAAAGTGTGTGTTTGTATCAGCGGGTGTTTACTGTTGTTCTCCTGACGTAGACGAGCTTCAGATCAGTTTCCAGTGTCGTGACTTCTTTATCCGGCTGGAGCTGACGGGACAGAACGAGTCCAGAACGACAAGTCAGCCCACGTGCGGCTCCTTCTTTCATTATTTCGTTTCAAAACATAATAAACAAGTGTTGTTTTGTTTTAAACCCACAACTGAAAACGAAGCCGCTGCGTTTTGTTCTCTCCCTACTGGCTGCACACGTTGTTTGCAGCAGCTGCTCTGCGTCGGGCTTCACGCAGCCAGAGAACGATCACCGGCCGCCCGCAGCGCACCGGCTCGCCGCTCGCCAACCGGTAGACCTAAGATGCGTTGTGTTGTGTTGCTGGACGCTGGTCGTTCTCTCTGGCTGGATGAAGTTCGATGCTCCCGTTTTACGCCTGATCCGTGTGTTCCTGCAGCTGGAGGCAGCGCCGCACCATCTCACAAAGAAAATATAGTGATTATTATTATTTGGTCAAATGTGTCTTCTGTTCTGTCTGTTTTACATTTACACCTCCAACACCATCACTGATAGAAACGTTCCCTCGCTGTGACTGATCGCAGCCTGACGGCCTCCAGAGTTATAATAAATAACATGTAACTAAAGGAGGATTTTACTCTGAGGAAGAATCCACGAGGTCGGAGGAAACATGTTGGAGTAACGAACTGTAGATCCAACCTGGATTTCAGTGTTCAGTGACGCGTTCCGTCTCTGCTTTGATACCGAGGAGTCTGAGAGAAACTCGGGTCTGATCTCCTGATGTGGACCCTCACAGACCCTCAGCAGGCCCCCCTGAGGGTTTAGGGCAGCCCCCCTGTCAAACTTGGAAGTCCACATTTCTTGCAGACAGGAGACACAAAACAAGTGTGAAAGGAGCGACCGCCGGCCCTGACGTCCACATGGTTACAGAAAGTTTACACAGATTAAAGACGACCAAAAATAATGCACCACTTCTCCCAGAAAACTGTCGCATTTCCAAGCGTTTTGGCGTTCTCGTGTTTATTTCCACGCAGAATTTAAAAATGGAGCGGACACGAATGATTGGCACCTTTTCAGAAGCTCCTTTAATTTCTAATGAACTCACCTGCTGGTTCATAAATAAACGAGAAAATGGAGAAAGGTCGACTGAACCTTTGTGCTCCGATGCAACAGAAGAAATAAACACGATAACATCAGAACATTTGGGAGAAGCGGTGCATTATGGGACAGACAGATCCTGAAACCTGTCGTGGTCAAAACACAGACGTTTGCTCTTCAACGCAGTTTTTATTACAAACATTCATATTTAACAAACAGCTGTTGGATGAAACTCGTGAACATTATTCTCAACTTGTTATTTACAGGAGCATGATCGATCGATGAAACCTCGGCGGCGGTAAAACACCTTCAGGGAGACTGGAGCGCTCGTGTGTCCGAAGGCAGTTTCAGGCGGAGTCCGTCAGGTTTTTAAATCTGTCGGTGGCCCGGTCGGTGCTGAGCAGCGTCAGACCCATCGAGTCCACGCTGGCCTCCAGAACGCCGCAGCTGTCCACCTCCACCGTGCCGTCGTTCGCCTGAGAGAGACACAGCGGTTCAGAGCCCGAACACGTTTCTCAGCTGCTCCGGGACCAGGTCTGCTTTCAGTCCCCAGAGTCCAAACTAAAGCTGGAGGAGTCCAGTTTCTACGCTGTGTATATCTGGAACAAACTCTCAGTTCTGTTTAAATCAAATGTGAGGCTGTAGATTAATAACTAATAATTAATAACCGGCGTCACGTGACCGCCGAGCCTGATCACGATTGTTGGTGAAGACGCGCCTCTTTCCATAGATCCTGACAGGTGAAGCTGGATTTGTATTTTAGCAGAACATTAACAGTAAACGCGAGTGTTACGAACTGGTCGGCCCCGAGTACACAAACACAGATCGTCCCCAACATTCAGCTCACTGATCAGCTGATAAACACAGATAGATAAATAAAAATCAGACCCCTGTTTGGGTTCAGGAAGCATCAAACGTCTCCATATTTAGGAGAGAGTTAGTGTTTTTAGTAAATCTTTCAGTTTGTGTAAATGAGCTTTGTTATTGCCCTTATTATTCTTCATTATTTGGCCCATTCATTTAGATTTTAAGGTCGGGGCTTTTATTTCTAAGGTGTCTTGCTGGAAAAGAGAAGACGGCAGGTCGGCTGTCGAGTTTGTTTGCTTAGCCAGAAGAAACCAGTCCTTTTGTTCAGCAGCCAGAAGAGAGGCACAAGGTTTGTTATCATTTAGTTTCATGTGGTGTTTAGTGTTCAGTCACAGGGAGGCGCCTTTCATCATTCTGTGTCTGGAATATAAAGGCGACTCTTTCGATGTTACAGGGCCGTCATCCCGGTGCACTTTGCATGAGGTTAAATAAGGTTAAAGCTGCTTCTGTGACATAAAACTAACTTCAGCTGCGTTTCCCCCAGAGGACCTAAACCCTGGAACCAGGAACCTTTGGAGGAAATGTGTTTCTACCGGAGGGACCAGGGTCTGAATTTAGTCCTGCTCAGGGTGCAGTACTTCCTGAAAGTACCAGTACTGTTTCTCTACGACTGCTCCTCTTTTCTTTTTGTTTGCAAACCAATAAATCCCAACCAGCAGTCAGAGAGCCGCACGAGTCTCGCCGACGTCGCCCGAGATCGAACGTCTGCATTAAATGTGTTGCTGGGAAACAGCAGCCGGCGTGCAGCGGTGCGTTTACTGATGGCGTTCAGCTAAATACCGGGTCCTGACTTGTTGTTTGAAGTCTCAGCTGATTGCAGCAGGTACTAAAGCTCGTTAAACATCCCGTTCGCTCAGGCGACACAGACGTGACGCTGCAGCTGATCTGCAGCTCCTGCCGGCTGGAAATGTTTTAATAACCTTCCAACTGTCCCGGTTTTATTTTAGTGTTGCTTTCTCTGTGCCAGTTCTTTTAAGAACGTGATGGTTTTACCCAGTTTGTCTCTTCATTACGCTCCCGCACTAACAGCTGTTTAATGGTCAACGCAGCCTGTAGCTTTTCTTATTTAGAGATTAAAAGGGGAGGAGTCTCTAAGTTTTACTTCTTCCTTCCCCCCATTTTCTTTTATTGGCATAAATTATTATTCTGTTATCATAAACTGTATAAAAGTTGCTTATGGACCGTGGTTACAAATAATGGCGCCTGTGCGTGCACGCCTACAGCGTCCGCCAGCTGGTTAATCTGCCTGATGTTCGCAGGTCTTCAGGCCGCGGTGGAAACAAACACAGCAGAGGGCCGAAGGAACCTTTTAGTTATTTGGAAAGAGGTCTGAAAAGCTCTGTAGCTCAGGATAAAGAAGGTGATATTTCATGATTGGAATAAAAAGGAGAGCAATGCTTTTATTTTTATTATCTCTTACGGTGCGTTCAGGTTTATGGAGCTACAGTATCAGCTGTGAACCATCATTCAGCCGGGGACGCTACAGTTAGGATCTCATAAAGCTTGTTGTTTCACCATCTTGTCCGTGGTGATTCTACACTTTAAATAAACTTGACCAGATCCCGATGGCTCTGCTCGGCCGGCTGATCGGTCTGGCTCCAGTTTTTACTCCACGCTGCGACAGCTGAAGCTGAAACGTGTGAGAGTTTGAGTTGAATTATTTCTGAATGGGATTTGGTTGGTGAGTATTTCGGCGTGCGTGTGTTTTACCAGCTGCAGTGAAGCCAGCATGTATTTGCAGGCTTCGAAGTTATCCAAGCCGGCGACGATGGAGGCGAAAGATCGCCGCTGGCCGACGGCGTTCAGCGCTCCGACTATCCTGTCGCCGTAGTCGTGGATGTCGAACACGTCACGCTCCTCCTGAAAACAACACAGACAGGAAGTGTGAACACGATGAGGCGGCGGCGGCGTTTGTTATCCGAGACGAGGAGGTTTGTTTTACCTGCAGCTGCAGTAAAGGCCGGATCTTGTCCTCCCAGTCTTTGACTCTGCGGGACAGAGCGGTTTCCTGAGTGTAACCGCGACTGTTCACCACCAGCTGCTCCTGAACGCCACATCACAAACAACACAGGTCAGATATCTGAGCGAGTATTTATGAATTCACACAGACAGAGTTTGGCCGTATCGATGTCTTACTATACGCAGCTTCACCAGTTCTTCGTAACTCAGCTCGTCTCTCTGATCGTCTGTAAAACACAAAATATAAAGTTCATCACTCAAACAGCTGCTCACAGAGCCGAACAGGCTGAAACTTCATCACCATGAGACTCCCCCCCCGTTCATTACTCACATTAAAACAATGCTTTTTGTATTACAGGTTTTCTGAAATGTTATCTTTAAATATGCAAATGAGGCAGCATCTAACGAAATATGTGCTAATTTGCATCAATTTTAAGAGCTGAAATCTGAACTCTGGATTAAGTCAGGTTCAAAATTATAGTTTTATTTTGTCGACACATTGAACTCAAATGTTTTTACTGAGGGGACTTTTTTCTCTTTATTATTTTATAAATCAGAAAACAGTTAATTTTTGACTTGTTTTAGGGACAAAATGTTTTATAATTCAGGCTGAGAATGAAATATGAACAATCTACTCTGTAAAAAAAACCTTCTGAATATCGTCGGGAAAGAAAGTGAAGAGTTTGAGGAAAAACTTGTTTTGAGATAACTGTGTAAACTATTCTTACCAGTGTGTCTTTATTGGGAATCAGATTAACGCAAAGAAAGTTTATGAACTTGTCTTTTAGATTTACTTGATCAAATCAAAAGCAACGAGACTGAGCCAAACCAACGTCTTCAGAAACAAAGTCTCCCTACAGCTAACGTGCACAACATGCGCGCACATTATCCTCCGCAGCTTCGTTATGTTCGAGTTCAGTTGAATCTAACGAGACGGCACTTGCTGTTTCAGTCTGGCTGCTTTATTCCGTTTCGTACAGGCCATGAAAGTGGCAAAACGAAGTGCGTCTGAAAGACCGGAGTTATTTTCTTAGATTTGGTTTCACCCACAGGTCTGTGGCGACTTGCACTCT